GCTTTGCACTTAAGTCCTATAAAAGAGTCCCTTCACCCCTCTGGTTCACAAAGAGAAAGTCACCTGCAGCATCCAAGTCAGGACCTTTCTGGCTGAGCCACTCTTTGTTGGCACCTCTTGCTCTCCATTCACTACAGAGAGAGCTCTTGGACATTGGGACTAGTGTCCTGTTGGGTGATTTTCATTTGGGCTACTCTAACAAGATCAGGCAGGTGTGCAGCTGGTGGCAAATAAAAAACCTGGTAGCTCAAGAGATGGTGTGCTCAACAACATTTCATGACAAGTTAATTAATAAAATGCAAGACTTACTTATAAGTGGGCAAAATCCATAGAGTTTATCAGCATCAAAATCTGCAGTTGTTGCACACCAGAGCAGCCCATCTGACCTGCCAGCATCTGTGCACTCATGGTACTGCTTGTCTTTGTATTTGAAAGGGAATACACAAGGCTGTCCATTGGCATTTCCTTGTAATGTAAAAGTAACTAGGAGGGGAAAAAAGCATTAAAGGACATGAAAATAATAATAAAATCATATATCTAAATTTCTAGTAATGGATCTATTATATATTTGTCTCTCTAAATTGAGAAGTTATGCAATCTTTTAAAATTTATTTTTATTATAATTTCCTCCCTAGTGTGGCTACAGATTTTAAATAAAATGTTTTAGCAAAATGAGAAGTTTAAATACTGTGGTTGGAGTTTGATATATATACACTGTAGGCAAGTCACATTCTGGGATGAAAAGTTGGTGATACATTTTGGTTCCTGAAGAGACAAAAACTGCAAGAACAGAAACAACAGTACATTCACTGTGTTTTTGTTTTCTGCACTGCTCAATAAGTTTGCTTTATTTGCTTGATTACTCTATCCATAACCGCTTTTTCACCCCATCTATTCCTTAACTGTTAAAAGAAAAAGGATGACTGATCAGAGAAAATACAGACCAGATTGTCATGAGCATATTTACACAGTGAAAATATTAGGTTTCACTTGCACATTTCTCCACTTGGAGAACTCTTTCAGATTAATCCTGAACTCAGTCTCTTTAGGATTAGCAATGCTTCATATTTTTAAACTATTACAGTATAATGGGAATGTTATTTTATGGTCACATTTCTGATGTAAACTCTCAGTCTCACATTCATGCAAACTCGTTCCTCCACTCAGTTCTCCACAAATTACTGCGTTACCATTTCTCTCTATAGCTATAGCCAATGACTGATAAACATCTTCAAAGTAGAAGTGTCTGTCTAATTTGTTGAAGCTGGAGGGGAGGAGCCAGTTCTTCCTTCTCATATCTCATGTTGTGGGGCAGAAAGAGAAACACACAGCTATCGTGTAAATATGCAAATTCCTCAACTGATCACTGCACCATGGCTGTAATGAGGAAGGTAAATGGAAAGAGGTCCATGCTCCCTCATCTTTCATTTCCCTCCCACACAATGCCATCTGATTTAATATTTCCACAGAAAGAAATTCCAGTTTAAAATCTTTCTCTTATTACCTCAATTTTTCCATCATCCTTACACTCCCAGTCCTTTTATTCTGTGAATCAAGAACTGCCAGGGTACATAACATACTCTTTAGATATGTATCAAATCTGATAAAACATACAAAATCATCAATCTTTGCATTAAAACTGTAAAGCTGCCCAAGGTAAAGCATTTTCATGTCTAGTTTAATACTAGCAGGAAACTTACCTGATGACTGCAGTGAACATTGCAGGAGGGAAAGGAAAACTATAAACCTGGAGAAACTCATTGCAAACGTAACTTGCTTCACATTCTTCTGCCAAAAGTTGGATTAGAAGATTGACGATACATAAAAATCCTTCTCTCTGCAGATAGTGATGGGTCCTTCTCTGTGTCAACGGGTTGATGGATAAAGCTCTGCACTCTAAATAAGGAAATGTTCTGTCATGTGGTATTTTGAAATAACTGGAGTGCACACTGTAAACACTGCTCTTTTGAAGAGCAAGTCCCTTCCAAAACTGAAGTCTACATCCTTGTAACTAGAGGTGGAGACATTTGTCATATTCTGTGACCTTGCTAACGTTAATTCAGATTATTTGTTGGGGTGATACACAGGACAGACCTGGAAAAGCAACTTGAGAATTTGGAGCAAGAAACCAGGAGTGAAATATCATCACTTGAAGCCCTCTGTTTTAACCCTTACATCTCAGAAACAGGCAGATTCGAAATCCCAGTGGTAAAATACATTGCAATAATGTCACAGCACTATATATTTAGAAAAAAGAGAGCAAACTTTGCAGAAACTGCATCTTTTGGTGCATTATGAGCTTTTCTCACTTTGAGGAAAAAGTTAGCATTATTATGTTGGTTTATTTGATCTCGGTTTAGGGGTGAGGTGTTCATAATTGCTTGTTAAACACCTGAAAAAAGTGATGTTCAGCAGTGTAGTCTAGTGGTAAGCTTCCCTGTAACAGAAAGGAAACTTTTTGCCTGGAATACATGAATATTTTACCAAGTAAAAATATGTGTTTATCTATCTGAGAAATTCCCAGTGAGGCTGTTTCAGAACAAAGCCAAAGACAAGCTAAATTGCAAAAGCTCCTTTTAACCCATGAGCAAAGTGCTCATCTGAAGACTTGTATTGGCATGGCAGCTTTTGTACAAACATTCTGCTAAGTCCTACTTCAAATGTTCACAAGTCCTGCTATTCCTTCTGTTTATTTACATCAGTGAAATTAAAAGTTGTGATAACAAAATTGAAAAGATCAAGAAGTGAAAAAGCCAGTATTGAGATAAATATAGCAGCTGAACAGTAGATGTCATAGGAGGAGCAACTATCATTGCTTTTGTTTTTAAAAGAGCTTTGGGAAAAATTATTGCAAGAACCAGACAAACATGTTGATTTGGCTGTAGAGAGTAGTGAGAGAAAAACATTTTTTGAAAAAAAGTGTCTGGATTACGGCAAAGTTAGGAATTGAATGAATTGTTTAATAATAACTATTTTATTTGCAGGTCACATTAAGAGAGGGCTTAGCCTGAGCAAGGCTTGCACGAGTAGCTCTAAGTTGTACAGCTGAATGGTGCCACAGGCCCCAATGTGGTGGGGCATAAATAAAAGCTGACTTTCCTGACTGAAACCATATTTCAGATACATCTAAAATAACAAAATTTAATTGCTCTAGCAAAGGAAATCCCAAGGCAAAACACCTGCAGGTAGCAATTCCTGCCCAGTTTTCTCATTTTCCTCACAAAGTACCAGCCTGGGTCTAGTTCAAACTGAGCTTTCTTCTCCCTCTGGTGTAAATGGCTGCTTGTGAGGATTTGTCCAGGGCTACAGTGGTGGGGAAAGATTAATGCAGACACTGGGGTAGGCTAAAAGAGGAACTGAGAACTTCAGAGCTCTCCTTTGGCATGACCAATCAGCCTTATGCCAGTTGCAAACTTTTTGGGGTCAGCATCTTGTGTGCTGCATAATGCATTGTGCAATAACCTGTTCTAAGCAGTGTCTTACATTCTTGCTTGTATTTACACAAAAAAAAAAAAAAAAAAAGGAGTTCAGTGCTTTAGGAAAGCAACTATATAAGTTTGGTGGGGTTATTTTGTATCTTTCTTTCTTTTTCCTAACTCTCTATCTTGCTCAATAGACTCTGTGCAGTCTGGGGAAGGCAGGTTGTTTCCTGGGGATATCTGCTAAGCACTCTTTCTCATAAAGCATTTAGTTTGTATTTATAACTCATGTAAAAGCTATCTTGTAGTGCGTTCTACTGTTTTTCTGACATCTAAAATTTAGTCTCTTGTAGATTTCTAGTACAGAACCATCTGCTGCATTCCTTAGTTTTCAGTTCCTTTTTCTTGCATTTAAAAATGGGAAGTTGGTGCTTATTCAAGCTGAATTCAAAGTGGTGAGGAGACAAGCCCTTCTTGTTATTGACAAAAGAGTTATTGTGCTGAATGGAGCACCCCCCTTTCCTTTTCTCCTCACTTGATTCACAGGGAATGCCGAAGACAAAAATTATACTAATAGAAAAATTATTTATTTATTTATTTATTTCAAAGCATTAACAAAAAGAAGCAAGAATGTCAGGGTAAGAATATTTTAATTCATGTAAGCGAGAATAATACAGTCAAAAATCACATCACTGAATTGAAAAATTATTACAATTATACCTGGTCTTAATGTTCTTTGCTGACATGAACTGTGTTTTCCACAGCAGAAAATGAACATGACAAGGTTTCCTATCCCAAAGTTTTCGAGAAAATAATATGAAGCAGTTTTATATGTGTAATAGGATTTAGCCATAAAGAACAGTAAAAGTACTGGTCTAATGCAATGAAGTTTGTGGGATTAAATGAGTTCAAGTTTCAAAAGAGCTAGACAGGTTCTAATTTTTGAGATTTTTTTAGTGTCCACAATATCACAGCAACGAAGTTCGAAATGGCATTCACAATTTATTGGGCATTCATTCTTATTAGTTGATTTTCATAGTCCTTTTTCAGTATGTGTAATTGTTTTTGACAAGTTTTTTTGCACAACCATCCTTGTTAAGGCACTTGAGAACATCTTGACCATTGCAAAATTGTAACATCAAACTCTAATTCTGATTTTGTAAAATATTCATGATAAAAAAAATCAGCTAGTGCTTATTGTATTTGGAGGGACGCTCGTGGCAGGGAGGAATGATGCATCTGACTCTAATCTCAGAAGGCTAATTTATTACTTTATAATACTATATTATATTAAAGAATACTATACTAAATTATACTAAAGAATACAGAAAGGATACTTACTAAATGCTAAAAAGATAACAATGAAAACTCGTGACTCTTTCCAGAGTCTCGACACAGCTTGGCCATAGTTGGCCACTGAGTTAAAACAATTCACACCAGAATCGAATCACCTTTAGGTAAACAGTCTCCAAACACATTCCACATGTGAGCACAACACAGGAGAAGCAAATGAGGTAAGAATTGTTTTCCTTTTCTCTGAGACTTCTTAGCTTCCCAGGAGAAAAATCCTGGGCAAAGGGACTTTTTCAGAGAATGTGAATGCCATAAGTGCTAAAATAGGAAAGTGATTTAATTTAAGGTTACATCAGATCTCACTTCAGATCTCACTACAGACACATCCTCTAATTTCAGTGAGTAACTTGCTGCTCCAAGTAACATACCACAGGACCCATTCTCACCAATTCTTCTGTCACCAAGACATCATATTAATAGTGCTTCATTGCCAGAATCTGTTGAGAGCTGGTTTTGTCTTTTTCTTTTGTAGAAGTAGGCTGCCATGCCAGCTCCAAAGACAGTTAAAACAACCAAGAAAATGAGCGGCCAAACAGAGACATGAACAGGTGGGTGAGTCTTCTCATTTTTTTCCTTCCCTGAAATGAATCCATGTAACTGTGAGAAACCATGGTAGTTTTTATTTCTACATACAACATGAAAAACATGAAGGAGATGCCCTCTCCTGCCTGAACTTGAAAGCTGTAAAGCTGAGCCCTGTATTGTTGCTGATCAGTAGTCAGGTCCCTGTTCCTGAAGCTGATGTTTTTTAGTGGATCTGGGGTACAGTAATGTACAATGGATGCAAGGGATGCTTTAAGAATGTAATGAAAATGCATGCCTTAGATGGATATGGGGTGCTCATTATTGGAAATTAATTCTACAATATTTTGTGATGTGATTTACAGTAATATCTTTGTAAGAAACTTTCACATACATCTACATAGTTTCTAACAGCCTATTAAAGCACTCTGTAGCTGCTCTCAAAGTTCTTCTCAAGCGTGGTCACTGCTGAGCTTGCCAGCTCAGGGTTAGCCCTGCAGCAGTCCCACAAGAACAGGGGAGTGCTCCTGTGCCTGTGAAAGACACCATGGGGTCACCCCGAGTGATTGATAACCCTCAAGGGCTTGTGCTCTTAAAGAGAGTGGTTTGGGCAAGCTCATTTTAAGTTCTTCCTCTATTTAGATTTTTCTTAATTTTCTTATGAAAACCCTTACCTTTTTGCTTTGTAGGACTCCCATTCAGTTCAACTGCAATGAATTTCAGAGAGAAATCACATTACACTTTATTAGAATCCGTATGTTCGACTGTTTGCAAAAAGAGTACAGGAACAAAACCCCCTGAAGTTCTACTATTGCATTAGTAACATATATGTCTGCTATAAAAGGCAACAACTTGAGACAAAAAATACATTGCTAAGCTTTCATCTTCCTACTTAACATTATCCACTTTTGAAACTTTATGTTGTTTTTATATTACCAACATTAAAATACTGATTCTTTTCTATGTTCATTCAAAATATCTTTTCACATTTTTCCTGAAATACTAATTTTAATGTACTAAGAACATGATGTATCCCTCTGGAGATTAGTTTTACATGGCATATTTTGGGAAGATCTGCATGTCTAGCTGCTGCAAAGTTTTTGATTCCTAAATGTCTTCCCAAGAAAACGCCTACTGAATCACATGAGTAATCTTCCTATTAACTCTGTGTAAGACAAAGAAAAATGAAAGACCTTTATAACATTGTTTTGTTGCTGTTGAAGAAGAGCAAAAAAACTCAGTTTGGCATTCAGAAATGAAGAATTTTACACATAGAATTAAAGAGTTCTAAATTATCCTAAAATATTTCTCCTCTTGGCTCTTCTACATTAGTTTGCAAGCACACTTGATACACAGAGGAGAATTTATAAAGACAAAATGTAAAGTGAAAGCAATACAGAATGCAAAATTAATAGATAAAAAACCCAGTAATCCCTATAAAGGCAGGAAATAGTACATATGGGAGCTCTGTATGATTCAATGGATGAACTTTAGAGATTCCTTATTATTTTAGTACTATGTAGGATGGGATGTAATTTGGATGTTTTTATTAAGTATTTAATAAGGATTAATTGACTTACTGCCATGGACATGTGCTGATTTAAGCACAGAAGTTAACAGTGCATGGAAGATGACTATTTCTTGGTTACAGTTCAGCATCTTTTTCTAATTAAAGACTACTTGTAAAATGAGTAAATGCTAACCCCAAATTTTCAGTTATTTTTTCACCACCTACCATGTCTTGAGATGTCTTTAGTATTGAAATAAATTTTTTTCAACTTTTCATCTGAAAAATAGAATCTTAAAACTGACTTTACAGCCAATCTTTTTTTTTTTTTAGGTTCTCAACACAGGACAGAGATGCTACCCACGATTTACTGAGAACAATGCACAATGCAAAAGCTGGAAAATTAAGCCTGATTCCACAGCTACTACAAATGAAAGTGCAAAGGTTTAATGATGGCTACCTACCACTTTTTTACGTTAGATAGATTGATTTTTAACATCCAGGTTAGAAGAATAAAATGATACTGCTTTCTTGCAGGCAATTTCCTTTGTATCTCCACTTGGGATTAATTCATGTAGTGTTTTATTTCTGAAGCATTAGTCTGATATATACAGTATTGAGTGAAAGTTTCCAGAAATGCTGATGAGACAACTTCTCTAATGACTTGAAGTTTTCATTTAGAATGGAAATATTCCTCATATCATTCATTATTGCAATACAAACAGGTGACCTTTTAGAATCCCTGAGGCATTACTGAATCAGGGCCAATATGAAGCCAGTTTGGTATGTTGGGACTAAATATATTTTTTGATAATAACAAACTGGAAGAGGAAGATTGATTATTCACACTGATTCCTCCTTGCAAGGGTATAATAACTGTTACAATAATCAATTCTTGGAACAGTCATACCCTTGCACAGGTGTTTGACAGGTGCCATATCAACACCTGTGTTAGGTGCTCAAATGTTCCTGAAAGTTTCATTCTCAACCTAGGGTGTGCAGGATGTTACTGCATGTCCATGTAGACAGTGATTTGAAGAGCTTGCAGTCTGCAAAAACAGGCAGCTACAAATGATAAGAGAAGTATGATATGCCAAACCAAAGGGCCAGGGATTACTTCCAGAGCTCTGGTGAAGGGCTGTAACAATTACTAGTGAACAGTTCTGTCCTGTCGCTAGGGACTGACACAATGAGGACTTACCTTTGGGTTTTTTGCAGATGAATCCTTTTTCAGCAGAGCAGTCACTTTTGTCCCAGTAGCCAGATGGTGCAGTTATTTCCACACACGGATGCTCCGTATCCAATTCTTTCTCCTCCCAGTTAACAAAGTCCAGGACAGCATTATCTAGCCACAACCACTGGCCTACAGAGCAATTCACAGAGTAAAAAACTAAAACATATCTATTTCATTAATATTTTTACTCCTTAGCTCAGCAATTTCCTTTTAATATCTATAGTAAGCCACTGTTCAGCAGAAACCCATGGGTTTTTTGTAAAGTACTGTAATCTTCAATTTTCTCATATTAGCAATGCACTTTTCCATTAGAAACGGAAATTTACACATACCTTCCACATTCTGGTAAAGTCCTATCCAAAAGCCTCCTACTTTATTCCCAAGTGGTTGAATTTTATGAGTCAGAAAGTGAGATTCATCCATGTTTTCTACTGAAACCAAAGTAGCTCCTGAAAGGCATTAATAAGCAAATAACCATAACCCACATCACCAACCACTGTAATGACCTCCTTTTTAGTCTGTACAAGCAATAGCTCCAGTATTAATGCTGCTCTGTGGGTGTCTCCACTGCTTCTTGCAGAAGACAATGACCTGAAGGTACTTAGAGGCTGTGGTCCCCACTGCTGCTGCTCCCAGGATGGTATCCCGCAAGCCAGGACATAACGGGGAGCTCACACACAGGGAAGCTGTAGACCTGAGAGGACAGAAGGCTGCACAAAGTGACTCATGTCAGCTTATTTTCATTGTGCCAGCCTTAGAACAGCTTAGTAGGTAAAAAAAAAAAAAAATTCTAACTTTTTTAAAAATCAATATCTATATTTTTGTGATAGTTTTGTAAAAACATCGGTACAAATCTTTTTAGTTGATAATGAAGGCCCTCACCTAAGCGAGCACACTCAAGGGAGGCCAGTGCCCAGGTTCTCCCAGCTGATGCTTCAAGGTAGTAGCAGTGATCATGGTAAGGGATCCAAGCTTGGAGTTCATCTGCTTCAGGGCAGTCTCCAGGCAGCTCAGCAGAGTCAGTAGGAGCTATCTCTAAAGAAGCCATATGGTATAAAATTCGTATTGCATTGTGAGTCATCTCTGATTCTATGACATGTGTGTAAATATTGTGGGATTTCTCTCACCCAGGTTGATTTGTCTCAACATCTACTCATGACTATTCCCACATTCCCTCAACCCAGACAACAGGGAGAGCTAAGCAGTCAAAAGTGTTAAACATCTTATTTCTCAAATCACATTTTTCAGGACAAGGAATCAAATTGCATCCTGCAATATCTAACTAACTGCCTTGACAGTACTGTGAGGAGAGCAAACCCTGAGGGATGATACAAATCTCAAATTTGCATTTTCACAACACAGAAAGCTGTTGCAGGCTAATGAATCATTAATGCCACAGTCCCATGATGTCTGGCTCCTTGGTCTCTTAATGTTGTCACTTTATAGAAAAAAAAAAAAAGCCATCAGTGGAGCATGCCTCTGCCAAATCAGGTTCTGTTTCTGATCATGGCTGCAACTCCAATTCACTTTGATGGATCTTGCACTGCATAAGCAGACCAAATGTATGCAGCCTTAAAACATAAAGGAGGGAAAAGAGCACGATTCTACAAAATCTAGATGCAAATGTGCCTCTGCATATATCTGCAGAGTTAAAGTGACATTCACATTGCCAAGGTTTTTACAGGTTTAGCTGTAGCAATTGTGAATGCAAACAAAACTCTTGGCTGTGTTTCAGCTCAGTGACACTCATGTGTGACCTTCCCCAGTTGAGGTGCATACAGTCAGGGCACAAACCCAGCACATACTTATATTACACACAGACTCGTGTGATTTATGGTCATGTCTTGTAAAGAGCAAGATATACCTTGAAGATAGAGCTTCATTTTATGGGAACTGTTTTACCATGATAGCAGTGCTGCCATCCGGATTTGCACAAGAGCCTTTCCTGTGCCTAAATTCATTCATTGTCCAATAGCAAGTGTCCACATTCTGCTGAGATGTACATGCTACCCTGAAGCAAAGTCCTCTGCAGGGGTAGCCCAGGGTAGAGCAAAGTCTCTAGGATTAGGCAGGCTCATGGCATTAGGAATGTATCTTTAAAATTGTTACATGCCTTTGCTTACCATCTGATATCATGCAAACTGAAAAGTAGCTCTCATTGCAAGGTGCTGTTTTCCAAGTACCATCAAGATCAAGGTAAACACAAGCATTGTTATCCTTTGGTTCCCCTGCTGCCCATTTTGTGTATCTGGTTTTCCAGTTATTGGTCCATTTGTAATAGCCACCAGTCTGAAAACAAATGAATACTGGTAATAGATTTTTTTTTTTTTTACATAAAAAGTTCTGTCACATAAATATAGTGTAAATATAATCATATGCCTATTTGATTTTTTTGGGGAAAAAAGGGGCCATTTTTAAACACCCCATTCACTGTTCTAAATAATGTCACTGGGCAATTTGAGTTACACAAGAACTACATATGAACAGTGATCAACACTGCATTGCTTTTGGGAGGGTTTTTCTGAAGTAACAAACTTCTACAATATGGCAATAAAATCAGATGAGGCCATCTTGGGTCATTTAGTAAATCCTACATCAAGAGAAGCAATTACAGAGAATTTGTCCTCTCTGCTCTGCTTTATTTAAATTAAAATTTGGAATTATTTGTGCATAGAGATTACTTGACATTAAACATTAAACAGTCAGCTTAAATCTTAAAATATCTCTCTAATACTCACAGTAACTTCTATTAATAGATCAATAGCTCTAAGTGCCCCCCTGTATAGCAGGGCATTTGACTTTCAGGGTGGCCAACAGTCACTTCATGACAGCTGCACTTTCTGACTCTCAGTCTGCAGCTTACTTCTGTTACTGTTTCTAGAACTTTCTGCTTCCACCTTTTGCTTCTTGCTAACATTTTCTGTGATTCTTCACTCTGTTTGGTGGATGAAAATCCTTGACTAGTTCTAACAGTACCACTAGATTTTTGTGCATTTACACAGTGAAGCCATTCAGAATACAATTGCTCCAATGTTCAAAACTGGCCATCCAGAGGGCTATTAGAGCAGAAAAGTTCCCTGGGCACCTGCCCCTCCCATCTATCCAGCACTTACCATATTGCTGTTAAGACCAATCCATACAGGTTTTCCATATTTCAGCATCTGGATCCACAAGAATGAATGGATGTAGGCATCCAAGATGCTGGCAAGTTCTGCAGATCTGTCCTGGCAATTTCTTCTGGCCTCTTCCCATTGCATTTCAGAGGAAATTATTGAATAGCTACTGTCACCATAATGAGTGAAGCCAGAGGCTGGATTTGTTGTTGGTAATTCAGGCTGTGAGGGAACTATGGAGGAAAAACTGAATGGATGAATTGACAACATATTGCTCTTCTGTAGCATGCAAGCTATAAAAAAATGGTCAAAAAGTACTAGTCAATAAGTCAAAACCTTTTTTAAGCTCATGAACAAAACAAGAACAGAAACCTAAATAAAAACAAAAAAAAACAAATAAAATTCCCCCAAACCCAAAAAAAGCACCAAACATAACTTTCAAGACATGGATCAAATTTGTTAATGCAATAAGATGAGTGAAATCCTCAATGCCCTGAAGTAGAGTATATTTGCTACAGACTTAACTGGTTCAGACTAAGACTCCTAAATTGCATATTTCAGATTCTGTGCTTTAAGTTATTTTACTAAATCTGAATATCTGAGTATACATTTATTTCTGATCGCTGGTGGATAGAACTTAGGACAAGGCATTTAAGGCATTAACTGTTGTAATCTCTAGACTCAGCCTTAGTCTTGAGACCTGATGTTATTTGATCACCACCCAGTGATCACTTCAACTTCTTGGCCTGTCTGTAAGGGCTGCAAGAATGCATGTTTGAGTCAGGCAGTGTATATTTTCACCCTTGTGATTGTAGATGTATTCAGAAGAGCAGGAACTGGGATCAAGAAAATTAAAAATGCCTCCATAAAACTATATATTTGTTGTGCGGGGAGGGGATCTTCTAACAAGCATGTTAGCTGTGCTGAGAGTGAACAGGCTGCAGGAACTGATTGAAGTGAGGGGCCAGAGAACAATTTTTATTTTAATAAAGCTGAGGCAAAATTGTTTTGTTATCAGTGCTTTGCCTCCTCTACTCCCATTATATGCTTGGGCAGCTGTGATTTGTATAATTAAAATTCTACAGGAGTAGAG